GGTTGGGAAACCATACACCATGATGAGAAAGCTCAATATGAGGCCATTACAGTGCGTGCTTGAACAAGATAAGAGAAGAGCTGTGGTTAAGAACGGGAAGGATTCATTGGATATATGTAGGCTTGTGAATGGAATGTGGCAGACAAAGGGTGAGTGGGGTGCGATTGACCATGACAATGCTGTGGATGCTATGCTTCGATATGCTGACGCTGGTCTCACCACCTTTGACATGGCTGATATATGTAAAAATCCCTTCAGAATCCATGCCTCACTTTCTTTATTTTTGTTAAAGAGTCTGCCTACCTATGTATTTTCACATGTTGAAGTTGGTTTTGCTCTTTTATCAGGGTGAATATATATTCCAAAAGTTTGTTTACCATTAGCTGTTTGATTTTGCAGATGGACCTGCTGAAGATCTATATGGCATCTTTATCAACAGAGTTCGTCGGGAGCGCCCACCAGAATACTGGGATAAGATCAGAGGGTGAGTTATGGCCAGATCTGGATAGTGTCATTGTGTTTCTTTAAGAAGGCCGTCTTTGGTTTCACTAACCATATTACATTGTTCATGCAGTCTCACTAAATGGGTGCCACCACCAGTTAAGATAACAAGCAGCTTTGTTAGGGAGAGCATCAATGTATCAAGAAAGAGAATGGATGTGTCTTCCTTGGACATGCTTCAATTTCACTGGTAATGATCTTGAGTACATTGTTTCATACTTACTCTGTCAATTTAGAGTAATTAGCTATGACAACATTAGGTTTATTATCAATGGTTTATATAATTCTTCATTCTCAACTCTTGACTTCATCGAGGATCATACCAGGGTTGGTCATAGAGTAGGAAACTTTCAAAATGTTTTTGCTGGATTTGTCTCCTTTGTTCTTATGAGTGATGAAATGAGGTAAAAGTTGGTACTACTTGTTACAAATTCAATCTAAAACTTCAACAATGTTGCACTTCTAAGTAAATAGAGCCGTGTGCCTTCTTAAATCACTTACTGTATAGTCTCTTACGCATAGCTCTTGAGTTCTACTGACATTTTCTCGTATAACTCTGGATAGAAAATCAGGACTCCATGAATTTATTTGTATGCTTCTTTGCAGCTAGCTTTTAACATGATAAATACATTTTTTTTAATTTCTTTTCCCTCAAATGTAACATAAGCCCTTGCATTTATTTTATCATGCTTACCTTGTTCAGCTTCAAGTGCATACAAGCTCTAATTCCGTATTTGCTGATTATACTTTTCTTCATGATTGGTTGAAACAGGTGGGATTATTCCAATCCTGGCTACCTTGATGCACTAAAACACCTGACTGATCTGAAGGAAGAAGGTCTGTTCTTGCCCGTCCCCAGTGAGTTTAGATTGATCTGCAAGAGGCCAACTTATAAATTTTATTGAGCTACTACACTGTCTGACCTGCAGGTAAAATTAAGACTCTGGCTTTGACAAATTTTGATACAGAGAGGTTGCAGATTGTTCTTGAGAATGGAATACCCATTGTTAGCAATCAGGTATTTCTTTGACCAACTACCAATGAGATATCAAATTCAATAATTTTCTAACTAATTCTACAGAATTGTATTGCGTATCATAAATGTTCATTGTGGTGTCAACAGGTGCAACATTCAATTGTTGATATGCGTCCTCAGCAGAAAATGGTTGAGCTTTGTCAGCTTTCAGGAGTCAAACTCATAACGTCTCTCTTTCTTTCTCTTTCTCAACTGACATAGAAGACACTCACACACATGCATATATATATATATATATATATATTGTGACATGTATGCATAGATTGACATCCAGATCCTGTGCTTTGACATAGCACAGGCATTAAGGACAGTGCTCCTGAACTTAATAGAACATTCCAAGCAAAAAAAAATTCATTTTGGAATTGAAGCTTGATTTTAGTAATTGAAATCTCATTTCCCTTTTACATTTCTCTCAGGCGATAACAGAATGCTAAATTTTTTGTTCATATTGATTGTCTCTTCTACCATATGATTAGTTTTTTCTTTGTCTTGTTACTAAGTTTGATTTAAATTTCTGAATGCAGATATGGAACTGTAATGGGTGGTTTATTATCTGAGAAGTTCCTTGACACCAACTTGGACATTCCATTTGCTGGCCCTCCATTGAACACACCCTCTCTCCAGAAATACAGAACGGTACAAACTCCTTTCTAATGCTAATTATATCTAGAAAAGGTAGAAATTATACATTCTCATCTTTTCACATTAAATGTGGTAGATGGTGGATGCTTGGGGAGGATGGAGCTTGTTTCAAACCTTACTTCAGACATTGAAGAAAATATCATCCAAGCATGGGGTCTCTATCCCAACTGTTGCTGTGAAGTACATATTAGATCAAGTAATTATGAACTCATATGACCATTTTTCTCGTATCTTGTGTGATGAATAAAGTGCACTTCAATACCAAAAATGCCTTTCTTTCTGGAATTTCAGCCAGCAGTCGCAGGATCAATGGTTGGGGTGAGACTTGGTTTGTCGGAACATATCCAAGACACAAATTCCATATTTTCACTTATTCTTGACGAGGAAGATGTAAACAGCATACAAGAAATCTATAAAAGAGGGAAAGATCTACTCAAAGTGATTGGTGACTGTGGAGATGAATACCGGAGAGCATGATGCTTTTACACCTACAGAGAGGCATACAACATATTTGCCAATAAAAATTTCTCTTCATCAGCAATGAGATAATTAAACTATTATTTTATGTACCCATCCCTTTTTTCTCATGAATAAAGTATGCACATGATTTCACATTAAAAAAAAAAAAATCCCTTATTGCATGCACTTTCATTTTACTCCAATTTTATTTTAAGCAGCAGAGTTAATTGAATTTATATAAACCTGAAAAGCCAATCCCCTCAGTATGGGCAACTCATTGCCACCTTTCGTTACTGTCAGGAAGCTGTGTTCTACCGTATCAAGTTTTAGAAGTGCAAAAATGATAAAGAAAAAAACGAAGCGAAGTGTAATGGTCCCTAAATATTAAGGTTAACAGTGCAATTTAACAAAAATTTCTACAGTAATAATTTTATAAGACGGGCTAGAACAAGGAATCTGTTGGAGCTGTAGATTGCTGTTTGCTGTTTGCCCGTGTTCTGCTATCATTTTTGCCGCAGAATTTCATTTCTTCCTTCACCCTGCTCCCAAAAAGCTACGACTGTAGAATTTATCGGGACCCATTTGACGCTAGTGGCGAATATCTTCAGCGGTTCCTTTGTTGGTAATGCTTCTTACATGTTTGATAAAATGCCACAATGAAGGATTTCCTTGCATCTAATTTTTTTCTTTCTCAATTTTCGCACTGAACGAAGTACCGACGAAGTCTTGATATGCGATGTGCCAGTTCTCGTAAAATCGTTAGAGAAGCTAGTTGTTTAGACGTTTGTACTGCGTGATTGCTGCCTCATTGCTCAAAATTCGTTCTTTTTTGTTTCTGATGCTTTTTCTGTGATCTTTTTTTATTTCTCTCCCTTGGTTTTATAGGCCTTAACCAACTTTTGACGGTAATTTGTTACTGATTTTTTGGGGGCTGGAAGGATAACCAGAAAGCAGCATGGATGGT